CACCTAGTGGTGGCGAGAAAATCATGAAAATTCGTAGCCCTTGTTTAACTACCATTATTTGGGAAAAATCATGACTTGAATAGTAATTTATAAAAGTATGTGTGATTAAAAAGTAGAGAAAATATATTAATAAAAATCTGATTTTTAAAATTCCAAACTTGTTTTCTTAGTTTTGAAATGGGCTATACTTTTCCTCTTAGTTGTGAAATTTTCCCTTTAAATATATAGGCGAGAAATATTTAAGCGCTAATTAGATTTGGAGTCTTTAATGGGACGACTCAATAAGTTTCTATATAAGAGGCCGAGTTCCCTCTTCTCTCCATATATTTTTATTGGCTTGCTCTATTGCCGGCTAATAGCTTTGTGAGGAGTAAAGAGAGGAAGAACTCGCTACTATACGTCCAAAATGTTTTTTGTGCATATATCTCTTGAAATTATGAATTTAAATATGTGATTCTTGTTTCTCGGTCTGACTATTATTATATTTAACATGTACTATTGTAACTATATTCACGTGACGTGCGAAATTTTATATTGATAACATACGTGTGAAGAAAAAATGAAATATGGCAACTGTGACTTTTGTAGTTTATGCTTGTGGCCTATGGCTATGAGATTGTAGCTTTCTTCCTCTATGGCTCTATCACACTGATTGTGAAGAAGATAATTGTGGTATTTTACTCTCTCACAATGATAGTGAAAAAGGAAAAGTACAATTGCTTTTCTCCAAATAAAGTTGTGTAATTTGAATTTTAAAATTAAAAAATTCCCAGTTAACTGAATTTGAGACAAAATAAAAACACATACTAAAATTATTTTTTAAATATTTATAACCAGCTTCTTGGTGGAATTGCCCAAACTTTTGTTATGGTAATGTAAGTGTGAGAAATTGATTAAAATAGCACTCTAATGGATATTATAGAAGAAAAAATGTATTTTAAATAATGATATGATGAGAAATGTGTGGTTAAAAAGTAAAAAATAGTTATTAATGTGATGTAAAATATTATTTTATTGAAAAATGTGTGGTTGAAAATGAGTTTTGAAAAAATATATGTCAAACAGAGACATAATATTTCATAGTACTGCCGAGTGCTGAATTCCTAGTTTGTGTAATCAAAATTCAACATCGAAGTAAAATCTTAATTAAAAGTTAGTAACTTCATGAGATTTCACTTAAATGTTATAAAGAGACAAAAGATGTAATGTTCATGGTGTGCACGAATGATTACTTATAATATCCACAGTGAACGTCGGAACACCAATTGCACGTGGCAACCGAATGTTGCGTCCACGGTTGACATTATAATACATATCCATCTTGGACATTAGATCAGAATGTATAAAGAGAATCACAAAGGAAAAAAAAAATGGTGCATGGAGATCACAAATTTTATTTTGACTTATATTAATTATTAATTTTGAATTACATTTCCTGTCAATTAAGGGCTCTACATGGCAATTTTTTTAATCACAAATTTGAGTCAAAATGGTGCATGGATGAGCATGAGGTCGACCACATTGGAACATTTTCACTTTCTGAATCAAAAATGTGGCTGGGACTCTGCCGTGGTTGGTAGGGCACTAGAGGGGTAGTGGGGACCACGTACAACACCACGCGTCATCTTCATACGTTTAGTTTTCATGTGGGCTAAGAATATTTTACGTATATAAATATATTATTTTTTTAATAAAATCATTACTATTCAATTTTATAAACAGTTATAAATTTTTCAAATAGAATTTAAATTAAAATTATTTTATTGAAATTTTTGGACAAATATAGCATTATTTCTTCTTATTTTATTTATTATGAATTTCAAATTATTTAAGCATTTAGTCAAATTAGATAAAGAGTAATTATATTACCACTGTAATTTTTATTTGATACACCACATTTTAACAGTAGTTAAGCTCCTCAATCTTTATTTATTGTTACAATTATTTCATTAACTTTTTCAGTTGAATACTTATTTTCAACATTTCATTAATTAGTACGTCACGTCCGTAATGAACATTAAAATGGATTTTTTTTTTTTTGGGAAAATTTGAGCTTTGGAATAGTGACGTGTTAGAGAATGTGTGGTTAATAAATAGGAAAAAGTACGTACACTATATTTTATAGTAAGAATGTATAATTAAAATGAATTTGAGAAAAAAAATTTGTTCTAATGACTGTCAAACTGGAGCTTAATGAAAATAAATTACGAGAAACTAATCTCGTTTCGGCAGAAAAATCGAATATTTTTGAAAAATTTATGTACTAGGAGAAAATGTTATGACATTTTTGAGTTCATGGACGAGGTGGATTTTTTTTTTCTTTTTTATATTGGGAAAATTTAAGTAAAAGTTATGATGTGATTTCATTTTGAAAGGTGCTTGTAAAATCATGGGCTCATATATGTTCATTTGTGTTATCTATTAAAATTATAAGTTATTTACACAAACAAAATTAAATTTAAAATAAATGAAAAAGCCGTGGACTCCATGAACGATCCTTACTTCAGGATGGCTACGGGACATGTTACGCAAGACCTACTCCAAATCAAATTAATTTTGATTAATACTATTTATTACCATAATGATAGAACGTCGGTGATGTGACAATCTATTATTTCTCACATTTCTCTCTCTTTCTCTCTCTCTCCCTCTCTCTCTTATCTCATCTCCTCGCTCCATCTCTAATAAAAATTGAACTGCTCAATTTCATTATTTCACATAAACGTCATATCGTGGATATTCTATCATCATAATGATAAATATAATTATTCATTAATTTTAGTCATTGTTTGACAACCATTTTTTGAAAATTATTTTTTCATATATACTCATTTTCAACTACACATTTACATAATAAAATATTTTGCATGTAAATTCAAAATTTTTCCATATTTTTAACTATATATTCTCTTAAAAATCACAATTCAAAACATTGCCAAATATCTCGAGGACTTTGTAGTGTCATCATCCTCACAAGTGTTACATGACATTAATACAATCTATAGTGTGTTATTGACTTTAAGCTAGCATAGTGAGAACTTGCTTCTTGTCAAAGCTAACTCTCTTGAGAACTCCTTTGTAACTAACTATACAGTTGCTAGCATCCCCACTGTGATACTCCTCCCAAGGTGAAAGACATACCACGGTGATGAAATCGCTAAGAGCTCCTTGTCATGTAATCACCTCTTTTTCAATATGGTCAAAATAAGAAGGTGCTTAATGAAAGTCCATTGGAGATAGTTTAGCTTCTAAGAACGTTTAAGTTAACACATTTGATAGAATATTCAACCGTGCAATCTACAGAAAACACGACGAATGTACAAATCAACCAGTCATTGACATTATTGTTGAAAATTCGAAATCGACCTTCTAACTATGATGATCCAGGGAAGCTCCCGGACAAAAACTTGTCGTGCACATCATTGTGAACGCGACGAGGAATGAGTTAGATGATACTTCACTCTTTCCACCTTTCATATCATCTTCATCAACTAGAACAAAACTCTTGAAAAATCACTCTACACACTTGAGGAAATACACACTCGACCATACTTAATAGCTTAGAGCTTGCATTTGCACTACGATACGAATTATTTCTTTAACTAGTTACATATCCTCAGTACATAGAGTTATATGACATATACAAAAAGTAACAAATGATGAAAAAAAAAAAAAAACTTATTTTGGAATATAATATTTTGGAGAATGTGATGTTAAAAAATATATGTAAAAAAAATTTAATTTACGTGTAAAATTATTTTACTGTAGAATGTGTGATTGAAAAAATGAATTTTTGATAATATAGGATTCACACAAGGGATAAATAATAATTTATATAGACTAGCTCGTATTTATTCATAATAAATCACATTAAATAAAGACATATTAACAAATTAACAAATTAACTATATTGATTTTATAATTTGGGAATCAAGTTTATCTTTGAGGACAATGAAGTATTTATTGAGAAAATCCCAAAAAAAAAAATAAAAAAAAAATACAGGTGAATAGGACTACTTCAAGTACCCCAAATCCACACTCCCTTCAGAAAAAGGATACTCTGTGTTTTCTGCAGTTACACGGTATTTATCACATTTCTATATCAACGAACAAACATTGACTCAAAGTCTCTCAAATAAATTTCTGTAGCTACCCTAAATTCTAGGGCTTTCCGTAATGTTCTCCTAGTCGTCGTCATTTACTGGTAATTTTTTTTCTGTATCCGAGATTTTTCTTATTCGAATTTCAGGATTCCTTTCTCGTTGCATTTGTATTTTTTATTTATATGTTTTTGTATTGAATTCTCTGATCTGGGTATTTTTATTTTTTTAAAATTCTTTTTAGATTTTGATTTGGGGTTTTGCTTTTGTTTTCCTTATGTGTAGATATGGTTCTTGATTTTGTATAATGGAACATAATTAGTTCTCGACGCTTTCTGATTGGAATAATTTTGAGTATTTTGGTGTAATTTTGATGGAAGTTTGAAGAATTTTGAGGAAAGATGGTATTTTAAGGGTTGATTTCCCATTGACTAGAAAAGACTAAAAAGGACTCTTAAATTGACTAATTGCTTCGGACAATTGTGAATTATGACGCAGACAAGTAGTTGATAAAATTTGAAGTTATGATTGAGGGAAGTATAGATGTGGTGTAAGTGACTACGTTTCTGGGGTTGGGCCTGGTGTGGGGAGACTGAGTTGATTGTTTTGTCCAAAATATGTATAGGCAAGATAATACAAGGTACGAATGGCATGGTAAGATACCTATATCAAATTTTGGTTTAATTAAATACGAATTCACTTCGAATTCTGTATTGAAAGGATTGGAAGTTGAGAGTCAAGGCTAGTTTGGGATAGTTGTAGAAGAGCTTGTTAAGATCTCATTGGATCGGCTTCCTCTAAAAGATCACATTTTGAAACAAAGTACTTCCAAGAATTATTCAAATAGGCCTCGAAGCGACTTCATACTCTCAAAATCCATTATTGGCTTTTCAAATGCCATGCCAAACATGCCTGGTTTGTTATATACTTATTGTGTCTCACATGGACATTTTGTGTTATCTTCTCTTGTTTCTCAGAGCTTGTTGGCATCCTTTAGAATAGATATCTAGGGAAATTCCATTTCATTGATCAATTTAGTTCTAGATACCCACTCCTAAAATTTATTGCTTTCTTTAAACTCGTGTACAGGGCATATGATAGATAGGGTAGTTGATATAATTCATATATACAGTGCCCCTTATCTACCTCCAAAAGTAGCTATAAACCATATTAAATGCAAATTTAAACAGACTGAGTAGAAACATTGGGTAAAATTACAATATGCAACGCAAGTTTAAAGAAGGTTGCTTTAATTTATCATATAGCATGGTTTTCCACTGCATGTCTCATATAGTTGTACTATCAATTATCATTTTTTGTGTTGAAAAAGGGAGACATCAACATGCTGTTTAGTTGTTGATTAAATGGTACTTTTCTTTTAGCTCTTGGAGGCTATATCAAGTTATGTTTAATAATGTTGAAAAAGAAAATAAGAGAACACAATCTTATTTCATGATATTAGTGTAGAGCATTGAGCATTGTGCAAACTATGCTTTGTGAAAATTTATGTAAGAATGCATCAAGTATTCTAAGTTGATTGTACTGTATAATAATTTTTGAATATTTACAGGATTCTACTTGCACGCATTTTTTCATAAATAAAATTCATTTTTATTTTAAGAACAAAGAAAACTAGTTTATCAAGCATAGAGCACGTTTTGGGGGCATTCTGTTTGCACGGACGCACGACATGGATGTACCAAAACTTGATTTTTGAAAAAGCAGGACACGAACACGTCAACTTAAATTCCGTAAAATTTTAAACTTATATATTATGTTTTTACTTTGTAATTATTAATAGAGGACATGCCATATGCCATGTCGAACATTTGCCCGAGAAATTTCCCTAAAGTACCGCTTGAGGGTGTTAAAAGTTTGTAGAATCTATAAAAAGGTAGGACACAATATGTGGCTTATCGAATATATGTCATGGAGTGTCCGATAAGTGCTGGTGTCTGACACGACACGATACTTGTTGAACACGAACATCCTGTCCAAGTAGAATTATCTATGCATCATCAAGGGGGCAGTTAACTCAATGCTGTACATGGGACACGTGTCAAGGAAAAGATATAAGGTTCTTTGTAAGCTAATTCATTAGAAATCTGCAATGAATCCGTATAGGTACAAAGACACTTGTATTCCGATGTTACACGGTATTACTTTTAGCAGTATATTACACGGCCATATCAACACACATACATTTGCTAAATTCCCTCATGCACCAAAAGTCCTTTAATGATTGTCACTGTTTAGCTGGTAAACTCTTTTTCCATATCCTTCTCTACCTACAACTCTATATTCATCTCTTTGCATACACAATTATTTTTGCTTTAGATTTGTGATATGCTTTTTTTTATCATTGTTCTTGGACTTTTTTTTGACGTAATGTAGTTCCTGATATGCAAACAATGCTTTATGAAATTTATGTTAGAGAGAACCAAGTATTCTAAGTTAAATGTGTGGGTTATTATTTTCGAAGAACAATTCTACTTCTTTATATATCTAGAGTTTCTTATATTCACAAGCATTTTCATGAAGAAACTTTATTTCTATTTTGTTTTCAAAACAAAGAAAACTACTTAATGCAGCATAGACCATGTTGTTGGGAACAAGTATCTCAACGCATTATGTGTCTAATCCCTTAGCTCTGGGACACGGATCAAGGCAAATCAAATATGGTTTTACAGTTGCATTCGATGGGTTCTTTGTTATGAGTCAATAGAACTCTAGAAAGAACTTTTATATGTACAAAGGTACTCCTCTATGTTGTACAGTAACACAATATTACTATTAGAAATATATTACACTGCCATATAACATGCAAATACATTGGCCTTAATTTCTCTCATGCCTTGAAATTATAGGGTTGCTTTAATTATCTTTACTCACAGGTAACTCTTTATCTATATCCCAGAGTGCTCTGTAGCCCTAGTTCTTTCCTCTCTTTGCATGTATGTATGAAGTTACTGATTGTATCTTCTTCTTTATTTTATTTTATTTTGCTTCCTTGTTGTGATGTGTGTTTTATCATTGTTCTTTAGTGAGTGCAATTGCAGATATGCAGACTATGCTTTGTGAAATTCTTGTTTGAGATCTCCAAGTAATCTTAATTGTTTGTGTAATCATTTTCATAGAAAAACAGGATTTTACTTCTTCATTTATCTAGATTTTCTTAAATTCATAAACATTTTCATAAATGAAAATTTCATTTATATTTTGTTTCCAATACTAGAAACTAATAAATGCACATAGAGCATGTGCCAGGGGAAACTAACACGATGTCATGCATGCATGCTTAAACCCTATACTAAGTAACACGTCGTGGGACATGCGTCAAGGAAACTGAAGCATGAATCTACCGGGGATACCTCCCGGGTGTTTCGTTAGCTGACTCATAATACTTCGCAAAAAACTCCTTATACACAGTCAGTCTCCTGTATTCTGCAGTTACAGAGTATTGCACGATTTCCATTAGCAGTATATTACAGTTTTATATCAACACACACATTGATTCTATATTCTCTTTCAAAATTCTCTTATGAATCCAAATTCTTGGGTTGCTTTAGTTATTGTCACTTTCTTTTACTGGTTAACTATTTTTTTATTTTTTGGAATTCTCTTTATCCCGAGTTCCGCAGTTCCTTTTTTGGCATCTATGTCAAATTTTCTGAGCTGGGTCTTTTATTTTATTTATGCTTTATAGTTGTGATATATGTTTTTTACTGTTCTTGGGCTTTTTTTTCACTTTTCATGAGTAAAATTCTTGGTATTTTATGATTGGAAAAGATCAGTTCTCTGATTGGAAACATTGACTTTTGGTTGTAATTTTGATGAAATATGAAGAATTTATCGGGAAGGTGATATTCTTTCGATGTAATTGTAAATGAATTTATACGCAGATCTAATTGTGACTCGAAAACGAAAAAATAGCTATTTTTTGATTTACTGAATAATTGTTTCAAAAAAAAAAAAAAAGTAATTGACAATACTAGAAAACACAGACGAGGAAAGAAAAGACAGGAACAACTTGGAGCAATATAACTTATGCATCCAGTGAACTTCTACTTTCATTTCTTGTGGTGGAGTGGGAGATGTGGATATATTACACATATTCATTTAGTTTTTTTCTAGGTTTGATGAAAATTATTGACTTTTTATGTTCTCTATTGATTTTTTTTTTGGTACAAAATGTGTAGTACAATAATTTCTTGTTTATATACTCTAGTACTTTGGCTTTGTATTTTCTTTGCATACTACAGTGTGTGAAAAGTAGTGTAGGACTTATATTGGCACTTTTTGGTTGAATTGAATTAAAATCAATATTAGGCAATACGAAGCATGATGGGTTCGTGTATAAAAGTGTGACCAAATTATAAAGCAACTTGAATGAGCTTAATTCTGTTGTCACAGTCTGGTCTTGAGTATTTCCCCTAAGTTTTTGGTTAAAATTTGAGGCTATGTGCTCATACAATATTTCCTGTAATTTCTTGTTAAGCTCGTCCACTAACCGATTCCTGTATAAATAGTTTGGTGTACAAATGAGGTTTTTTATGCTAAGAAAACTTCTAAAGAGAAATATTATATTTCTATTGTTTTTTTTTTTGGGTATAATTTAAGCTTCATAATTCTGAGTTTTCCACCCTTATTTACCTTTATATTATCTGTGCCATCTGTAAGGACGCGACATTAAGTTATTTGGAGAAACTAGGGAGCATGCAATCCCACTCCAAGAGAGTGAATCCAGGAGAATCTATTGTTTCAAATTCCAGAGTACGTTCTGAACCACGGGGGAATGATACTGGATATAAACCCTTTCCCCCTGAAATGATGCAAGGAAATGCATCAGATTCATCATCTCTTGAACAATCTGTTGATGGTCAATCACAGTCTGAGGACGGTATGAATGAGGAAGATGCTGCGGCTGCCAAACAAACATCAAGTACTCTACCTCTGCACCCAGGTACCTTTTCAGCGGACCACAGAGAAATCCCAGCGCATATTTCATCATGTAAATCCATGAATGATGTAACGAGAACAAGCATAGATGCTAAACTACATTTTTTTCTTTTCTTAAAATGCTATTGGAGTAATTGTGAGATTATTTCCTTTTTGTTTGTCCTCCCACTTTATTGTTGGGTTCAAAATGGAACATGGAACACAGATACAGTCCTTATTAATAGAAATTTTTACATCAATTTATTGTGCAAAATTGTGATGAAGCATTTAATTTCTTTCTTATTTTCTTTCATTATGAGAAATTACTAATGATAATTTCCTGTCAAGATTAGATAGAAATCATGGAGTTGACGGTCAGAATCAGTTTGCATCAACTGTACAGCCAAGGATCGAAGGCCTTATGCAGCCCCCACAGCTTGAACTTGTTGGGCACTCAATTGTAAGAATGTTATTATCCAATATTGGTGAAGTTTGAGGTTTATAAATTGAAACCCCCTCCCCCTTCCCTTTTTTGCGACTCTTTTTCAGGCATGTGCTTCAAATCCTTGCGATCCATATTATGGAGGAATTATGGCGGCTTATGGTCAACCTTGGGTATGTGTGCATGAATGGTAGCTCATATTTTTCGAATTCACTCCATGTTTCTTATTTTCCTTTTTTTTAATTATGAAATTGTACCATCTATTTACTTAAATACTCAGAGGGTTCCATGAAATGTTAAACCTAGTCCATGGCAGTGAATACTTGAACTTAGGTTCTATGTTAACTCGTTAGGACTCTTGTGGTTGTTTGAAGCTGTGTAAAGAATCATTTCTGGCTTTTTCAGTCATGTAAAATATTGCAGAAATCATTTTGATCGTGTTACGTTTTAGTTAGTAGCTTAATATTGGAGGATTCCAAGAGGAGACTGGAATGACATTGACCAATTCTAGCAACGCGTATTACTTCCCCATCTTTTTCTTCATATTTAAATGCCTACCAGAAAAGTTAATCAACATAATACTCTCGGGATACTCTTTGAATCACGATAAACCTTCTCATATTGGTTTGTTCAGTAGTTTTAGTTGGGACACTCTGAGAAGGGCTTGTTATTATTTCGGTAGTTGAAATTGTGGTTAAACGGTAATCTGTGTTTTCCACTCATTTCTGTTACTTTAGATTGTTGAGCAAATATGCAGTATTTTCTTGTTTTAATCTGATTTTGAATTAGTCAGTGTTGTCATAAGTTGTTGGAGAATATTAAATCTAATTATTTTTTGACAATATTGAGAGAGATGTTTCTGCTTAATTTGCTCTGTTATTGAGGGAAACAATTTTATTTATTTTTTAATCTAATAATTGTTCTTTTGATCAGGTTCCACCTCACTTATTTGACTTGCATCCTGCAAGGATGCCATTGCCCCTGGAGATGGAGCAGGAGCCTGTTTATGTCAATGCCAAGCAGTACAATGGGATCCTGCGAAGAAGGCAGATGCGTGCTAAAGCCGAGCTTGAAAAGAAATTGATAAAAGTTCGAAAGGTTGGCTTACGAATGCTTTGTATGGAAAAGTTAGCCTCTGCAGGTTTTTGCCTATGAGGACTTATTTAGCTATGAAAAGTGGACTCATGCTCGTAACTTAAGCTTCATTTTTGTCAATTGACAGCCTTATCTTCACGAGTCCCGACACCAACATGCTTTGAGGAGGGAAAGAGGATCGGGTGGGCGCTTTACAAAAAAGTCTGATGCAGCTACTTCGAAGGGGGAAGATTCTGGTTCAACAGTCTCATCACAATCTATCAGTTCATCAGGTTCCAAAGCATTGCCCGTCAAATCTAGTGAAGCAAATGTGCCCAAGGCTCAGAATGCACGCAACAATGATGCCTGCAGTTTCAGAAATCAAAGTAACGAGCAGGAGCCAGCATATCAGACAGGGGAAGGACGTACATCAGGCCAGCAGTGGGGAAACATCCCGTCCAACCATGCATTTGCCATGAAGTAAACACGTATGACGGACAAATTTCTTTCAAGTTTATCCAACTTGAGGAAGGTTATAAATCCTGATTTCGCAGATCTTGGCTTTACCAAGCCGGTCGGCAATTCATTCTTGGCTGTTTCTTTTAGCTCGTGTTGAGGGTTGGTTTCTAATGCCACCGTTGCTCTTCTCTTGTGCAAAATGTCGTAGGATTAGAAGTTTGAGTAGGATGTCGAATGTTTTATGAGTAAAGCATCGTCTATGTTGCTAGAACTATGTAAAGTGGGTACTGTTATTGTCATGTTTCTTCTAGTTACATTTTCTGAAATTTCGAATTTGAAAATTTGGCTTTTGTGTGGATTATCCTAAGAAATGTTGATGTCTTCTACATATATTTTTTGGACCGCATAGGTCTGTCCTGCCCGTAGATGTTTTGAGAATAAATTTTGTGAAAAATGATTTCTTTTATTTTATTTTTAATTTTTTGTGATTAAGAAGTGGGGACAAGTTACGAGTCTATATACAAAATTATTTTATTGGAAGAATGTATAATTAAAAATGAGTTTGAGAAAAAATAAGTTGTAAAAATCTTTATCAAATATGGGCTTTGCTCCTGGTCAGTGGTTAGTTTGTTTAGTCATGTCGTAGAGCTGCGGCCACCCTCACATGCCTTCCACAAAAAAAATTATGAATCCATGCAAATCTCTATAAAAATAATTGTATTGACTTAGGCCCATGTTGTACTAAAGTAATTTTAAGAAAACTATATGCCTAAACAAAATGGTCGTCTCAAGTCAAGAGTGGTTTGAAACGAACCTTTGGAGATAACGTCTATTTGTGAGGTGCACTGCACCACCTCTGCGTGCTCGTTTGTCTCGCTTTCCTTTAAATTGGTAAATGATAAAATGTTATGTGATATTATATAATTTATTATGTAAATTTTGATGTATACGTAGCAAGATTCCTCCTTTAAATGAGGTCGTAACTTGTAAAGCTTAAAAATAGGGATGTTCGTGGGTCGGGTCGGTTCGATTCGGTTCGGTTCGGTTTTGAAGAGAACCGAACAGACTCAAAAGTTTCTAATATTTAATAAATGGAACCGTCGGGTCCAAATATAATTGTGGAACCATTCGGGTTCGGTTCCGTACCATAATTAATTTTTTAAATATTTACAGTAACACTACATAAATACAACTATGACATTTCATTCTTAACTTTTACAAATTAACGTAACTCAATTCAAAAATATAATCTGATTTATTTAAATAATTTGTTAATTTGTTTAGAAAAAAATAAAATAATTTAATTAATTCAATATAAAAAATAAAAAAATTATTTAGTTTCGGTTCTTATTCGGTTCTTGGTCTAGACTCGAGACCCGACCCAAACCATCGTTTCTCGATCCGAGTACCCGTTCGGATATTTAATTTATAAAAAATCGTTCGATTCGAGACTTTTAGACACCCCTACTTAAAAATTTGACTATTTTTGCTTATATTGTTTATTCGTCACATGGCAAGAAAAAGACTTCTAGCAAAATACTATCTTAACTATTTTTATTATTATTATTTTTATTTTCTTAGTTTTTAAGGGGAAAAAATAGAAATAAAAGAAAAGAGAAGAAATTTTGTAAAGCCACCTTTACAGGGTAATAATGAGATATTTTTTTATATAGAAAATTGGAAATACTTTTGAAAGGTTTATCAAAAGCCACGAGCAGTTTTTCGCCTTTGGTCTTTCAAATGCTTAATCTTCATCACTCAATTTCTCCTCCGGCAATTAGATCCTCTTCCTTTCATACCAATAAGCAGCAGAAATCAATCTCTTTCTGTAGATTCAGAATATGGGAGAGTGATGAACTGAAGAAAAACAGACGAATTGGTGGCTTTAATTTTGTGAATGCAGTGGAGAAAGACTCGGAGTTCGAGGTTGATCCAGATAAGGCCCGTGAAGCTTTGAGAAAGCTCGATGAACAGATTCAGTCTCTTTCCAAAAAACAAGTCGATCCTCCCAAAATTAGAGGTTACTTTTTTCCCCTCTCTCTCTCCCCGTCTGGTTTGTGATTATATACTGTGGTTTGCAATTCGATATATATATTTTTAAAAGATGTAATTAAAATCAGTTTAAAGTAAAATTAGAATCAGAAATATATTTGTTTGTGGATTAGTTTTAGATAGAAAATTTAATTTCTCTGTTGAAAGGAAAAGAAGAATTGAGAAGAGATGATGTTAAATTGCTGATTGATCCCATTCGCAGACTGTACCTTTAAAGAACGATTTTTTTGACTAATAGAAAGAGATATATGCAATTATGGAGGAGAAAGGCAGAGTTCAACAAGGAAATTCCTCTATTTACATCGAACATCTGTTAGGAATGTGATTAATTCTATCCTATCCGAGAAATTATTGTGATACTTGAAGATTAACAATTTGTAAATCAGGGTTGGGCAAAGAAAAAACTCGAATAAATGAACTATAGTACTGGATTTCTCACTACAGTATCAAGCATCAGAACATATTGACTCATCTGAAACCACATAAGTTGTGTTCATAGGTTATCTTACAAATTATTTCAGTAGAAACTGTTTGTACAATTGTATCATTTACTTTTACCCTTTCCTCTTTGCATTTGTGATTTTGATCAAAGCATTGAGGCCCTTCACTTGTTGCCCTGATTTATAATAAGTGAAAGCTTAGGAAAGCGTATCAATTATTTGAATCCTGTGAATGTTGAATGCCTGCATATTTCAATGCGAAATTGCGAGCCAGTTGGCCATCTTTGTGCAATGTTGTCTCGAGTTGGAAAAGTAGCAGCCAGTTAGTGCATGTTTGGTAGTGATTATATGTTGTGGGTCGTACAGAATGTGTGGGTCCTGCTACAGAAGTAGCCAAAAACTTGCATCTTTCGGCAGTATGGAGGGTCTTACTATTGAGAGAAGACAAAACTTTTAGCCAATATTGGGCAAAAGACTGCTTCTCTTGTAGAAAGAAGCAAAGCCAAGTGACACAAACCACAAATCCTGAGGATTTTGAGATTGTTCCTTAAGGAGTTGCAACTTAAATGTTATCTATGACAAATTTGAGATTATTCTTATAGCATACGCTAGATTCTAATCTGATACACTTGTTAATATGATTGCAGCTTCAAGCCTTGGTCGTCCAAGTCGTGAAATGAAAGAAGAAACTACAGATTTCACAGGATCCTTTTTAGCCTACTTAGCTTTTGGTCTTCTTGTTTTTACTATATTCTATAATGTAATATTTCTTACTGTTATAAAACCATCAGTAGATGGACCAGAGCCTGTTCTAGAAACGAGAACCGTGAATGACGCTAAAGAACCAGAGTTGTCTGGTTTCTTAGGAGTTTTCTAACATTTGTAGATTTTTACAAGCATTTTCTCGACTCTATTATTTATACAACTTGTTGCTGTCAATTTTCTGTAGTATTTTAAAAATGCATGCCAAAGTTACTCAATTCATGAATATGTGTGGGTTATATTTATTTTGGGACTTTAATTTTCTATTGTCTTGATTTCTTTCAATTTATTTATGCTCGCACAGATTGTTCAATTGACCATTTCCAAGCCTACCTTAAGATAGGCTCACGAGCTGGAATAGACCACAGAGAAATGTGATGGATCTGGTTTATTAAAATGTATGATTGAAAATGAAGTTTGATCATTTATAAATGAAATTATAAACTTAGCCAAACAGGTATATTGTTTCCAACCTTTAGCAAACTTTGCACGCTTGTTCATTGCTACGATTTGTTGAGTTGTTACATGACCTCTTGGATCATACATGACCTAATTTTCTCGGGGAAAATAGTGACGGTTCATTTTCACAACTCACAAATATACTAAAGTTTTTTTGCTGCAGTTATTTATAATGTCTTTTTATGATATTATGCTCTTAAATTTTCTAAAATATAAATTCAATTTATTCTAAAGCAAAAATAACAAAGTTTTTGAGTGGTTTGACATTTCTCTCTCCAACTTTAAATCTTGTGAAAGTACATGCGATTTTAATTTTCACATTCATTATTTCTGTCATGTAAAGACCAGGTTTATAAATTTAAATAAATAAAGTACTCAAAATTTGACTTAAAGGATTGTAGATGTATAACAATACGTTGGTGAAAGGTTAAGAAGCTTGTAGATGTATAACAATACCTTAAAGATTGTAGATGTGTAACTTTCTTTGATTCAGAGTACGGAAGAAACTTCAGGAGCTTGTGGATAAATGGGAGGGTATACCACAGGTAGCATCACGATATAACTTGAATCTTTTTGCTGACAAAGAGACATGAAGCCGAAGATTCTCTTGCAAGACTATGAGTCCCCATCAATTGGCTATGGAAGTCGTCCGCAATTTTGTTGCCTTCCAGCATAATGGGAAAATCGAGTGAGCTAACCAATGGAGGGATTATCACTTGTGCTGGGTTGCATCAGATGCACATCTCTTTCTGTGCTCTTATTGGTTAATAACAACTGGAAACAGCGGATGGTGTGACGTCATTTTGAACATACCTTGTTTAGTGTTTTACTTGTTTATTAACCTCATTTTCTTATTCAGTTTTCTTGAATTTGAATGCAACGTGCTCTTTACTAGAATCGAGTAGGCTTACATGTGTTTACTTGCACCTGCTGTTGGGAAGGGAACTTTTATGATTGATTGTTGTATATGTTATGAAAAAGGCTTATGAAATAAAAGAATTCTACTTGCTGTTATCAAATCTATGGCATCAGTCTTTGCAGCCTTGGCAACGATAACCCTTTGTGTTCAGAATTGTGAGGGTCGAGAATGGGATTGAAGCCTTGAAGGTGGAGGTAGTAGTAAATTTACTTAAATTTAAGTTACTTTTAAAAGAGAGTTTATGATAATTGATTATTTGTATTGAAAATAAAGCAAGCATAAAGTACGGAGCATGCACAAAATACTTGAGAGATGCAGATATATTAGGACAGGAATCAGGTTTTACGTTCTTCCCAGATTAATGAACAGAAGCAGTTTTACGAAGGCAATGCCAGTTCTTAATTGCGACAAATGCGTGCAGTAGGCATAGTAACACAAATAGGTCATACTTCTTTTTAGCATCTGGGGTTCCGGGTTTGGGCATGTCTGCCATGGCAACTTTGGCAATGGAGCATGCAGCAGCAGCCACTGCAAACATCAAGTCCCTTCTGGTGCTGTTGTTTCTCTCTTCCACCATTTTTCCATTCTGGGAATCCTTGGAGGCATTAACCACCACCATGACACGGCAGGAGGTGGTGGCTGCTGCGGCTGAGCCACCCAAGAATTAAGCAGTCAGTGTCATGGAAGCCATTGTTTGAAGCCTAGATGATCAAAAAAAAATTTCAGTCTCTGCTGTGCACAAGAATGGGGCTAAGTTAGTTTTGTTGGTTGAAAGTGTAATGTGCAACATCATACAAATTTAATCCGTGTTTCTTATACCAAATAGAGATGTGTTCCAATAATTTGTTGATAGATCTTGGCATGAAAATTGGTGGTTCTAAGGCCTTGTGGTGGAGCCTTGAATTGTCCTTATTTTCAATGAATTGGAACTTTTATTTTTTTCCTTTCCTTTTATTTATTTATAGTGTAGACATAATAAAATTGATGCACCATTTATATTTACACTGCTAAGGATAATTTTTCTTTCATTAAAATTCACTTGGAAGTTGTCCAAGTAAATTAGGGTTTTATGTGTGAAAATATGGCATAAATAAACTACCATATATAAAGTGGATAGGTGAGAAACATTCGATTTTTCATTTTATTTCTATAAATTTTGTTTTAAGACAATAATGCCCTCATTTAATATTCATTATTTCCCTTAATTAATGCATTAAGTTATTATTATATATCCAATAAGGTATTGTTATAATGATGGTCAATTTTTATGTTCATTTCCTATCCATACATTAAATTATTATTCTAAAAATATATAATCCCACCAACTCCATTATTTAGAAAAGCAAGCCAATCAGCGCGGGCAAGCCATAAAGGGCTATCGATCCCACATAGAGTCACATCTCTAGCGCTTGTTCAAATTGGAATAAGCTCTTCTTGTTCAAATTGAGTTTATTATGTTTATGTCCCCTGATAAGCAGAATTCGTTACAATCATAGACTACTCTTTTAGTCAACCATGAAATGAATTCACAATCCTTGTAGAAAGTCATGGAGGCGGCTAACTCATCGGTCAGGCACAATGTAAGGATGACTACAGCACCGTAAGATTACAATTCATATTTTCACATGAACTTAATGGGAGCGGATGATTCCTCGCCTCTCCCTTGTCGGGGAATGGTTGTAATCACAAGCAAGTGATTGAATGAATTATTATTATTATTAAATAGTGAAATTTTAATAGCTTAATAACTTTACTCGTAATTTTGTGAAATATGAAGATTTGTATTTTGACGAGGATATGTGATTGTTCTGAGATACTTATAGTTTATAAAATGAGCTTAATCGTGTTATTTACTTATTTATTTTCAATGGCAGGATGGGTGCAATGCGGTTTTCAGATTGAAAATCAAGGTATTAAATTTATGTAAATAAGTGAATTTGTAAAAATTTCTTCTTTTGAACAAGTTTATGGTTTTAAGGTTTCAGGTATAATAAGATAATTTTCAACAACAAATTATAAAAGGAATAAAGTATAAATTCTATTATTGAATCATACAACGAGCAAAATATGTTTAAAAAGCTGGTAACAGTAAAAATAGAAAATAAAATATGATACATAAGTGTAGGTTACTCGGGTCATTTTAGTAAATAAAAAAACTGTTTAAAAAATGTGGTGCATCAAACACAAACACGATGAAGGTAATATAATCATTGTCAGATATATCTTGAACGGTTGTGCTACACGTGGAAAAAGACACGTGTACAGGAAAAATATTGTCGGGGCTGATACGGAAAAATGTGATTGGATGGGTGAAAAATATTTTTGGCCCAGCTACAAATGGAATTTTGCCGGTGTGAATCTTGCAAGATTTTGCCAATTTCCCCCTTAGCAATGTAGCATGGCTCGCTACATGTATATCAGAACTTACAAATATTTTTACCAAACAGATGATATGTCGAGATTTGATTGGATCAAAATCTCATCAACGAAATAAAAAAAAAATCCTCCACTTTCTTTTTGATACATCATCAATCCGTAAAAGATTGTGTAAAAAAAAAAGATGTGTAATTAGCATTTTTCTATTTTGAAAATGAGTAATGCTATTTGTACATGCAGATAGATGGTATGGAAGAGAGAGGAAAAAAAAGGTTATTATCTTGTCATCGTCTTGTGTCATTCACCCTTTTTTAAATGAGTTATGTTGTATCAAGTTAGACTCGATTGAGTTAACACGAATAAAAAATTAAATAAATAAATAAATGGAAGACAGAGTCTCCTTAGAATTATAATTCCACTAGCTAACTACCCGGGATAGAATCCCAATCCCAAATCCTACTCAAACTTTCGGTTATTGCTCCTTCATCCCTTTACGTTCGTCATCAATCCTCCATTGCGTCTCTTCATCTCAACTGGTTTTATGTATGTATGGATTCGAGACTAGCTCTTTGAATTGGAATAAATTTCGCAAAATCTTCAACCTGATTCATTGTGTCCATTCGTCTTGTTTCTTATTTTTTGTCTTTGTGTTTCAATAGAAGATTCTTAAACGTACATCGAGTTCGATGATTCTAGAATGCTTGGTTGATTGAAGACGATACAGAGATGAAGAACGTAGCCTCAAAATCATGTCGGAACTGCATGAGTTCAAGATTGGGTTCTTGTACAACTCTTGATTCATTCTTGATCGCCATGGAAGCGTTACACGACGAGATTTTTCTTTAATATCTACTTTCGAACTTCGATAAAGAAATTCTTTTGTGATCATGAATTCAATAGGGTTTTTGATGCCGCAAAAACTAGGATTTAATGAATCTGATGTTTCAGAGGTGTCACCATGCAAGCGTTTTGTACATTACAAGAAAATCTTGGGAAGAGGGGCATTCAAAGACGTCTATGGAGGTTTCGACCGGGTTAGTAATACGGAAATTGCGTGGTGTCAAATTTGTATTGAAGATGAAAATACGATGAAGTCTTCGTCTAACGAAGAAAAATTGTGTTTCGAGGCTGTTTTATTGAAGTCATTGAATCACAAAAACATCATGAAGTGTTTCTCATATTGGGTGGATAAGAAGAACAATACTATTAATTTGATTACCGAATTGTTCAGTTCAGGGAGTTTAAGGTACTACAGACAAAGAAACGGCAATATTGATGCGCAAACAATCAAGAACTGGGGGAGACAGATTTTACAGGGGTTGCAGTATCTTCACGAACAAAACCCGCGTATTATTCATCGCGATTTGAAGGGCGACAACATCTTTATCGACATTACTACTGGAGAAGTAAAAATTGGAGATTTCGGTTTAGCAACTTTTATGCAAGAAGGCCCCCTTTGCACTGTTGTTGGAACACCAGAATACATGGCACCAGAATATTATGATGAGGAGTATAATGAGTTAGTTGATATCTATGCTTTTGGCATGTGTTTACTGGAATTAGCCACTTCTGAACATCCCTACAGTGAATGCACAAATCCAGCACAAATTTTCAAGAAAGTCACTGCTGGTATACAGCCTCTTGCTCTTGGTAAAGTTAAGGATCCTGAGGTGAAGGAGATTATAGAAAAATGCCTAGTTTCTGCATCCATTAGGCCATCAGCTGTAGACCTCTTGAACGATCCATTCTTCTCGTCCAAAAATCCGATGGAAATCGAAATGGAACGCGATAATGAAGCACAATTAAATAACTCTTCCCTGATAAGCACTTCTGATTCTGCTTTATCAGTTGAACAGGGAATGGTACAATCACCCATGGCTTTCACAGTTGACTCAATAAGCAGCTTATTTGCAGTTGGAAAGCAGTTTCAATACTCTGGATCGAAGAATAATCTTGAAAAGGTTTTAAGAGCATCCTCCTCCGTTTATGAATCTTCCACAAGTGAGGTGTCCATGAATTCAAAGGTTACCTTCGCCTCTTCCTCTGGAGAAGTACACGGTGATCCCGGCTTTTGTATATCTAGACTTACCCTGTCAGGAAAAACACTAGAAGGAGAGTAGGCACTAGTTTTAGAATGGAGAGTTAGGTAACAAGAAATGTAGTAGGAATTTATTAGAAGGAAGAACTTATCTTATCCTTTTTTGAAGTAAATAAGTTTTCCTTTAGTAAGATTTATTGTAGTTTTCCAAAGGTGCAATTATTGACATCAGACTATGCCATGGTTGTTACTATGCATGTGCGCTTGTATTCTAGTTTCTCAAGCCATTGGATTCAAATCTAGCTTATCAGTTTGCTATAAAGTTGTAAAGTTAACGAAGAAGATACAATCCTTTCTCTTCGAATTTCATTTGAAATTCATTATATATAAGTCGCAATGCTATATTATAGTATCAATTATACGGAGAATTTAAACAAGACAGAGACTTTACGTGTTTCGTACATAGTATTAGACTAGACTGCCCGCTACCCTATAGGCTATAGTAATTCAGCATCTTATGAATGACTTTTGTATGAGCTAATGGAGGGCTTAAAGAAGTTCTTCTCCTTCAAGCTTTCAACAGTTTCTTTGATGCTTTCTTCTAGAGGTATGAATTCCAAACCCAAGTTTGTTGCTCTTTCTTTAGAGACATTGTACATTTCTAGATAGGACTTTTCGTTTGCACACTGAAGTCAGTTTTTCATGTACGATATTAGCTAGAGTTGAAATGTATTGTTAACTGAAAGACATGTATAATTGATCTTAGTGGTGACACAATATCCATTTAAGAAAAGAAAAATCTCAGGAGGAGACGATACTCTCCGCAAATCTTGCAGTAGTCAAGGTGTTAAACTATCTCATCTAAAAGTTTAAGTTGTTAGATAAAGGGAAATATTTTATTGTCTATGTTAAACGACCCTGTTTAAAAGCCTAAGCGGTTGAATAGGGGACACATTTTTTACTTAAACGTAGTCTTCAACCAGAGGTCTTGTGCTCATTTTGAACTATCCAAATGTTGGCTTTCACTAGATGTCCAAATTCTCGTGTATCAGGAAGTCAGAGCCACAGGCTACTTCCTTGAATTGAAAGTAAGTCCTACCGACAGTAACTTGGCTCATTTCTTGCTCCTAAATGAAGGATTGGTAAATGTTGTGGTTAACAATAATGTAGTATATGGTCAAGTTTGTAAGCTCAAACACAACTTCTAGCATTTTCTTAGACATAAGTTTGAAATACAAGTCTATACTGTTGACTCTAAATTTTTAACTTATTAAATTACGGGATGTGTGAGATTTTGCTCATGAAACATTTAATCCCGCTCATATTCAGAAATTGGATTCGACAGAACCAGAGATAATGTCTTATTCCCAATTAAGTTAGGGTCGACACGTGAAAGTTTAAGATCCTGACTCAGTATCTTCACAATATCAGAATAGTGTGCAACTTTCTCAACAGCACATTATCTATCTTCTATTAGCCAAAGGATTCTCAAACACCAGAACATGTGCATTAGCAATATCCTGAAATGAGAAATGGAAGAATTTGGGTATGTTTCTCCACCTGCGCAAGAACTTTGTACAGAAAATGAGAAATGGAAGATTTCCAGGAAATTAGAACATAGAAGCTATAGTGTAGAAGAACAGAGAATCCTACTAACAAATGAAATGTACCAGTTAGTAAGCCCAAGATTTTAGTAGGGTCTGCAACAAAGGACCAATGACTATTGCTGGTTTTATCACAATTATATCAATACCTTTCTCCTTTACAAATTTCCAGGCCGCATCTTCAGCTAACGTCGATATACCAGAGCTGGTGAAGAAACGTCCAAAATCACTTTCACAGCTATACTAAACCTCTATATATAATGCTACAAATGCGTTTGCAGAGAAATTTAGAATGTGACTGAAGTGTGATAAGCCCTCCACGAGA